TAACTTTTTAATTTATATTTTTTTGTTTTTTATTGACAATTGGCGTTTTTGTTGACTGTTGACAATTCTTCTTGACAATTTAAGTTTTTTGTTGATATTTTTTGCCTTTTTTTGTTGACAATCAACGGTTTTGTTGACAATTAACGTTTTTCGTTGACAACCAACGTTTTTCGTTGATAATTAATGTTGTTGTCGACAATTAATGTTTTGTTTAATAAACTTGAACAATATTAAATGAAAAAAGTCGTAAATGCATTTGTCAAATAAATTTAAAAACTTGATTGATTCTTATATTTTAAAAGTAACCTCAATCAAATCATAAAATGAAAAAGTCACCGCTGCAACTCTCAATTAAAATGAAAATTTTAACGGTTTTTTTTGCCTATTGTTGTTGACAATTAACGGTTTTGTTGACAATTGACGTTTTTAGTTGACAATTAACGTTTTTTTGTTGATAATTAACGTTTTAATCGACAATTAATGTTTTGTTAAATAAACTCGAACAACATTTAATGAAAAAAGTCGCCAATACAAATTTAAAAAAAAAAATGAAACAGTTGATTGATTGTTTCTTATATTTTAAATTTAAATCATTAAATACAGACACGAAGGTTGGCTCATTTTAAAGTGGCAAGACCACTGCTCTGTATTATGTACTTGATATGATGTACTTGTTCAAGATTTTAACGAATCTTGATCATTTCCCAATGTAAGAACTGACAGAAATTTCAACTGTCATTTAAATTTTGACCACCCATGTTCAGTTCGGGAGGTGTACTCCTTCACTCTTTTCTATCCATAACTAACTTCAGTCCATGCTAAATCATTGTAGGTTCTTTCGTTTGTCCCACTGGTGTAAGAATGTACTACACCAACGGACACCATACCTTTCGTTTGGCCCAGTGTCAAATCCACTAACCTTCGATCGGCCTTGTGGTGTCCACTGGTGGATATAGCAGGAGTGAATTACACTCGACGTGTATAAGAAATAAGGGGTAAATAAGGTGGTGTAACTGGTGTAATTTACACTGATGGACATTGCATCAACAGCGAACGAAAGAACCTTGTATTTCAGTGATGTGACGGTAGATATGGAGTGAAAAGAGTAGAAGGAGTCCACATCCCGAACTTCTGCTTTTGTGTCCAACCTTTAAATACTATAAATGTCATAGAACGTCAAGAACAAGTAGTGACATTGACGCAAGTCATGTCCCTTTAGTTTTTCAAATTTTAGAAACATGTAAATTATTGATAAAAAAAATGTCTGCAAGATATGAACAGACTTGTGGAGACGCTGGACGACGAAGAGACCCAAATAGCGCTGATCGCCTTTTTGTGCTTCTTCGTGGCGTGGATAACCATCACAAACTTCATACAGTTAGTATGCGTTTTAGTACTGTATTATATTATGATAAATGGAAATAGACAAACTTGAATTGAAATGAACTAGAAATACAGTTACAGCATGGGGAACAATCAGAGCTGCATCGATAGCGCCGCCATTTTCTCAGGATGGATTTACCAATGATGTTAGTTATGTAGATTGGTCAACTATATGTAAATAATACGACGAAAAGCAGGTCGAATTGCGTGCGGTCATATTGCCTTACCAAATTGCTCACTGATCAGGTTCTGCTAGCAAAATGGCGTCGCTTGACAAAGCTCTTCCTCTTTGTGACTCGTGCAGCTCAAATATACCTCTTGAGCTTGAGTCTCGCACTACTGATTGTTCTCTATATACTGTGTTCATATTTTATTCTGTGCGACACTGTCAGTAAAATGTCAGTGTCTTCATGCCACAATGTTTTGATCGTATAAATTTCTGTTGTACCCAAATTCTGAACACCTTAACCGCAAATGGATTCCGTGGTTAAAAATTTCGGAGACGTAATGTCCAACCAGGACACCCAGATGGCCGTTGCGGGTTTTTTATGCTTCATCGGCGGTTGGATAGTGCTGACAAGAGTCATACAATTCCTCTTTTCCGTTCTATGGCCGTTCTTCGTATTGATCGGTTCGGCATTAATAGCCATACAATTTTTCCCAGGATGGTTCACTGAGGTGCTGCCGCAGTACACCAGAGCCACGAATGATTTCTTGAGGAAGTTCAACGAAGAGTACGTGACGGATAACATAAGAAGATGAAATTATGTCTACCATCGAAATTTGGTTCTGTCGGAGCAATAAAAGTCCAGTATAAAGTATATTTTTGGGGCAAAGGTTAAGAAAACAGTGTAAATATCAAGGAAAGTAACGAAATTTTAAAGTGTATATTTGCATTTTTTTATTAAATAATAACCAGATATTTTAGAGTCTTCCTATAATATTTAAATGAATATTAAAAATAAAACATCTCCAGTTGAGGGGAGGGGACCCTGAGTGGCATGGCCCCTTGGGTTAAAAATTTTGTATACATATAAAAAATGCCTTTAGATTCAGAACATTATTATTGACAATTTATTTTTTTGTTTACAATTCACGTTTTTGTTGATAATTTCTGTTTCTTGCACAATTGACGTTTTTTGTTAATTTTTAAATTCTCTGTTGATTTTTGCCCTTTTTCGTTGACAATTTTATTAACGGTTTTTGTTGACATTTGACGTTTTTCGTTAACCCTTAACGTTTTTTGATCGACAATTTACGTTTCCTATTGATTTTTGCAATTTTTCATTGACAATTAAAGGCGTTTGTTCACAGTTGGCGTTTTTAATTAACAATTAACGTTTTTGTCGACAATTAATGTGAAAATTGACGTTTTTTTGCGGATAAATTGACTTGTTTGTTGAAAATCAAGAGTATGGTCCAACGGTTTTTGTTAACTATTTACGTTTTTCGTGGACGATTTATGTTCTTTTTTTTTTTTTCACTGACAACGGTTTTTGTTGACAATTGACGTTTTTGGTTGATCATATTGACGGTTTGTGTTGACAGTTGATGTTTTTTGTTGATACTTTACGTTTTCTGTTGATTTTTGCCTTTTTTAGTTGACAGGTTTTTGTTCACAATTGACGTTTTTCTTTGAAAACATTTTACGTTGACGTTTTTGTCGACAACTAATGTGAAAATTGACGTTTCTTTTTAATAAATTGTTGAAAATCAAGAGAATGGTCCGATATCCGAAATATCGGTTACCCAAACTATACCACGCTGCTTGATATTCCTGAAAACCCGGTTAAATTAGGGACGCGTTTACCCTAAAATTGTGACTCGAAACGTCAATTCACTAACTGGTATATTTTACGGTCGAATGTCAATCTGTCACGTAAATCTTGGCCGTGGTCCAAAAGTAACCAAGAAATTAGTTTTTTTCATGAACTGCTGTCAGAAAAACCTGGTTAGTTACGGTTAGTAATTGGTTAATATCGGACCATCATACTCTACGTTTTTTAGTTGACAATTTTATGAAATATAACATTTTTGTTGGCATTTGACGTTTTTATTTGACAGTTAACGTATTTTCGAGGACAGGATTTTGAGGTTTTTAATTAACAACTGACGTTACTGTTGACTGTTTACAATGGACGTTTTTAGTTGACATTTAACTTTTTTCGATGGCAAAGTTTTTGTTCACAATTGACGTTCTTCATTGACGATTAACGTTTTTGTCGACAACTAATGTGAAAATTGGCGTTTGTTGCTGATAAACGTAAGTTTTTGTTGAAAATCAAGGGTATGGTACGATAATTTTGTTTTTGTTGACAATTTACGTTTTTTATGCTGATTTTTGTCTTTTTTCGTTGACTATTAACGGTTTTTGTTGACAATTGGCGTTTTTGTTTGACAGTGAACGTCTTTCATTGACAATTGACGATTTTATTGGCAACTGATGTTTTTCGATTATCAGTCTGTTGATATTTGCCCTTTTTCGTTGACAAAGGATTTGGCTGAGAATTGACGCCACGAATAATTTCTTGAGGAACTTCAACGAGGAATATATGATCCGTCAAATTTTTTATGTTTTCCGAAACATAAAAAATTATGTCTATCATCGAAATTTGGTTCTACCGGAGGAGCAATACAAATCCACTATATTTTTGTGGAAAATATTAGAGAAACTGTAAATAAATATGAAGGAAAGTTACGAAATTTTAATGTCTATTTTTTTAATTCTTTATTTAATAACTTCCCTTCCCTGGTTAAAAATTTGCATATATATAAAGAATGCCCACTTACATTCAAAATATTGATGTTGACAATTTACGTTTTTGTTAATAATTTACGTTTTTCGTTGACAATTAACGTTTTTTGCTGAACACTTACGTTTGTCGTTGACGATTGACGTTTTTGTTGACCATTTACGTTCTTTTGATTTTTGCCTTTACTCGTTAACATTTAACGGTTTTTGTTGACAATTTGCGTTTTCCGTTAACAATTAACGGTTTTTGTTGAAAATTTACCAGTTAGGTTGACGATTAACGTTTTTGTTGACCATTTACGTTCTCTTTTGATTTTTGTCTTTATTCGGTGACGATTAACTGTTTTTTTTTTGACGATTGCCGTTTTTAGTTGACTATTAATGCTTTTATTAACAATTAACAAGTTCATTGCTGATAAATTGAGGTTTTTGTTGAAAATTTTAGTTTTTCTTTGACAATTAATTGACGTCACTGTTGACAATTTTAGAAATTACATTTTTGTTTATAATTGACGTTTTTAGTTGACAATTTACTCTTTCCGCAGATGTTTTAATTGAAAATTGACGTTTTTCGATGACCATTGACTATTTTTGTTGAAAATCGAAGTTTTTGTTGAAAATTTATTTTTTAATACTGAATATCAGTTAAACGAAAATGTTAACTTTTAAAAATATATTGTCAAGTTTGATTCGATAGCATGTCATACAAATGTAACATTTTTAGTTACAAAAATTGACTCACATTTAAAGTTTAAACACCACGTGGGTGATTTAAATTAAAAGTTAGTCCATGGTTGTTTGCGTTAAGATCGACCAGGATCTATAAATTTCTATGAATTTATATCCAGTAACAAATCAAAACACGTGTTTTTATTAAATATTTTATTTTCTCTTTATATACACATAAAATATCAATAATTTAAAACTCCATCAATCGATCGGACTCTATGAGAACCTCATTAGTATGTTCAGATCCTTCGGGAATTATATGATTACTGCCTATCAAACAACCCTTCAATTTACAACCACTTTCCACCGTAGCCCCGTCGCAAACTATACAATTTTCCAACGCCACCCTAAAATACAACAAAAAATATTTCATATCCAAATTTGTATAAATATTACCTGGACTAACATGAAAAATTACAACCCAGGAAAATGTGAAAAGTATTATACCAGTCTGGTATTAAAATTGACAAAAAAAATTTTGAGAGAATATTTACGATATTTGAGATGGAACAAATTCATCTTCAAACAAAAAATATTTCCGAAAATTATAGGGCGATTCAAAAATGATTAGAAAACGATATAAAAATAAAATATTTTGAATCCAAATTTATCTAAATATTGCCTGGACACATGAAATATTATAACCCAGGAAAATTTCGAAAAAAATAGACGGTTTTCTTGATTTCTATTTTTTAAGGCTTAAGATGGAGATTACTTCGTAGATTTCAAAAAATACAAATAATATATTTAGAATCCAAAATTATATATATAATGCCTGGACTAACATGAAAAATTATAACCCAGGAAAATTTAGAAAAAACTGAAAAGTATACGAGTCTGGTATTAAAATTGACAAAAAAAATTGAGAGAGATTATTTACGATATTTGAAATGGAACAAATTCATCTTCAAACAAAAAATATGTCCGAAAATTATAGGGCGATTCAAAAATTATTAGAAAACGATATAAAAATAAAATATTTTGAATCCAAATTTATATAAATATTGCCTGGACACATGAAATATTATAACCCAGGAAAATTTCGAAAAAATTAGACGGTTTCTCTTGATTTCTATTATTTTTTAAGGCGTAAGATGGAGATTACTTCGTAGATTTCAAAAATACGAATAATATATTTAGAATCCAAAATTATATATAATGCCTGGACTAACATGAAAAATTATACCCCAGGAAATTTATCAGTTTTCGAGTTATTGGCTAAAATGTAAATTATATTCAAAAGAACATTTTGTTGGTAAAATTATTTTAAACTTGAATAACAATGTTTCAACGCCAATCTAAAATACAACTCAAATATTTCGAATCCAAATTTATATTATTTCCTGGACTAACAATTATAAGAAAATTTTAATAAAGTTGGAAAGTCAGATATTAATTTGAACAAAAAATTACTTACTTTTCGTGAATTGTAACATTATTCATTACAATACTATTAAAAACTCTGCTGAAACTTTTGACTTCCGTATTGCTGCCAATTATGGCATTTTTAAACGAAGTTTTTTCGTTTAATTTCGCATTTTCCCATATTATACATTTATCGTCCACTTGAGTCGACGATATCGTCGCCTTCGACGATTTTAAAGCGAGATCCTTGCCGTACGTGATTTTTTCCCAGCTATCAATGATCTGAAAAAAAATCATCAAAATAGTACAGGAAAATTCACACAAATGACAATGACTAGACGTTTTTGACAATGACTAGACGTTTTTATTTACATTAAGAAACGTTTTTTTTTACTTTTTTATATATTGGCACATTATTGACATACACATGGAATTTTGTTCGTTAAATATGCAATACAGGTTCTAGAGACGTTTAAAAATGTAAAAAAAAACAAATTTTAAGAGAAAATTTGGACACCATCTCCATGAAATATATTTTATTGTTGACTAAATATGAGCACCAGGTACTAGAATCAATTCAAAATGGATAATAAACAAATTTCATGCAAAATTCTAAACACCATCCCCGTGGAAAGTAGTTTTTATTGACAAAATATGTGCTCCAGGTCACAGAAAAACATTAAAATGGAACAATAAACTAATTTTAAGCAATTAGAAACTATTTTCTTGGATAAAAAAAAACCTAATTAAATAAATGTCTAAAGAGACGCGTTTTGACATCTTTTATATATTGACACAACTTTTTTGACATAGCCAATGGTTTTTTGTTGGTAAAATTTGCAATCTAGGTCCTAAAAAACATTTTAAAATGTAATTTAAAACAATTTCATGGACAATTTTGGACACCATCTCCATGGGAAATATTTTATTGTTGACTAAATATGAGCACCAGGTACTAGAAACACTTTAAAATGGATAATAAACAAATTTTGGGAAAAAATTGTTATTGTTATGTAATAACACTTTCTAGGAGGATAGTATTTTTATGTGGACAAAATATGTGCTCCAAGTTCCAGAAATGCTTCAAAATGCAGCGATGATTAGATTTTAAACAAACTATTAGAAACCAAATTTTTTTTGAATGAAGCAACTAAAAATACAAGTTAAAAAATACTTACTCTAGCATTAGTAGACCAATACGCCTGCAAGGTATTGACCCTAACCCCAAACGATCCTTTAGGAGCGACATAAGCGAAACACCGAACAACATCCCCGTGATAGGCTTCTTTCAAATCGCCTGTATGGTCATTAAAACTGGACAACTCCCTTATGGTCGATTCCAAAGCATCTTCTTTAGCCAAAGCGAAAATATCACCAGGATCTTTCATGGTAAGAATGGACTGATTGGTGTCGATAGTTTTAGGAGGTTTAGCCAATTGCTTCTTAACAATATGCGGTAATAATTCCCCTTTTAGAGACGTCAAACTGTCTTCGTGTTTTAAATATTTGATCACCCAGTTCTTCAGTACGTACACGTGAGAGTCGATGAGGTTACTGTGCATTTTGATTTTGGTGTGTTTGTTTAGCAGCGATAGCGGTAAGGTGAATTTTTCCTCGAAATCGCTAGCAGATGCTAGAAATACCAGTCTATTGGTTTGCTCATCTATACCAATGAGATCTCTTTCTAAAAAAAAATAATTCGTGATAATGAAATTTTATTGAAACTGTTCCTGGACTAAAAAAAAAAATTAAATTTTTTATATATTGACATAACCTTTTCAAATGCGCTGGTTCAGTGATGATGAAATTATGGTTCCACTGACAAATAAAGTGACCGTAGATTTTTTGAGTGCGTTTTGTTCGTTTTGTTTACCTAAATTATATCGTTTTTTTCACTTTTATAAATATATTCCTAAAGTAAGTAGATAGCATGTATCAAATATACAGTCGTTTAGTTACCAATTACATACCTTTAAACTATTTTTTATGACCTGTAAACAATATTTTGAAATAAAATAAAAACAGTAAAAACGTATGTCAAATTTACTGACGTTTTTGTTAAAAGTTTGGTTAGACTTAAATGTCAGTGGAACCAAAATGACATCACACTGAACTAGCGCATATATCACTGTTAATTAAATGTCAGAAAAGCTTACAAGCATGTGATTTTGTTGGTTAAATAAGTGTTTCACATCCTAGAGACGTTTAAAAATATAAAAAAATATTTACAAGAAAATTTTTGGACGCCATCTCCATAGGAAATATTTTCTGAAGTCTAGATAGTATAAACTTTTTTAAATGGATATTATTAAATCAATATGTCTAGAGAGACACATTTTTGATATCGAAGTAATCTTATTGAAATAGAAATATTTTTTTTTTGTTGGTTAATATGTAATCCAGGTCCTAGAAGCAATTTAAAATGTAAAAAAAAACATTTTGGACACCATCTGCATGGAAAATATTTTATTGTTGATTAAATATGACCAGCAGGTACTAGAAACGCTTTAAACTGGATAATAAACAAATTTCGAACAAAATTCTGGACACCATCTCCGTGGGTATTATTTTTATATTGACAAAATATGTTCTCCAGGTCCCACAAATGCTTTAAAATGCAGATATGGACAAATTTTAAGCAAACAATTAAAAATCATTTTCTTTGATAATGAATTTTATTCAAAAATATGCCTTATTAAATCAATATGTTTAGAGACACATTTTTAATATCAACATAATTTTTTTGAAATAGAAATAATGGTTTTTTGTTGGTTAATATGTAATCCAGGTCCTAGAAGCAATTTAAAATGTACATAAAAAACAAATTTCAAGAAACATTTTGGACACCATCTCCATGGGAAATATTTTATTGTTGATTAAATATGACCAGCAGGTATTAGAAACGCTTTAAACTGGATAATAAACAAATTTCAAACAAAATTCTGGACACCATCTCCGTGTGTATTATTTTTATATTGACAAAATATGTGCTCCAGGTCCCACAAATGCTTTAAAATGCAGATATGGACAAATTTTAAGCAAACAATTAAAAAGCGTTTTCTTTGATAATGAATTTTATTCAAAAATATGCCTTATTAAATCAATATGTTTAGAGACACATTTTTAATATCAACATAATTTTTTTGAAATAGAAATAATGGTTTTTTGTTGGTTAATATGTAATCCAGGTCCTAGAAGCAATTTAAAATGTACATAAAAAACAAATTTCAAGAAACATTTTGGACACCATCTCCATGGGAAATATTTTATTGTTGATTAAATATGACCAGCAGGTATTAGAAACGCTTTAAACTGGATAATAAACAAATTTCGAACAAAATTCTGGACACCATCTCCGTGGGTATTATTTTTATATTGACAAAATATGTGCTCCAGGTCCCACAAATGCTTTAAAATGCAGATATGGACAAATTTTAAGCAAACAATTAAAAGGCATTTTCTTTGATAATGAATTTTATTCAAAAATATGCTTTATTAAATCAATATGTTTAGAGACACATTTTTGATATCGACATAATTTTTTTGAAATAGAAATAATGGTTTTTTGTTGGTTAATATGTAATCCAGGTCCTAGAAGCAATTTAAAATGTACATAAAAAACAAATTTCAAGAAACATTTTGGACACCATCTCCATGGGAAATATTTTATTGTTGATTAAATATGACCAGCAGGTATTAGAAACGCTTTAAACTGGATAATATACACATTTCGAGCCAAATTCTAGACACCATCTTCATGGGTATTATTTTTATATTGATAAAATATGTGCTCCAGGTCCCAGCAATGAACACATTTTAAATAAAATATTAAAAACCATTTTCTTGGAAAATATATTTGATACAAAAAATACGCTTTATTAATTTAATATGCCTAGAGAACCACGTTTTTGACATTTCTTATATATTGAGACAAACTTTTTGACATAAATTTATTTTTTTATTTGTTAAATATTTAATCCATATCCAAGAGATGTTTTAAAACGTAAAAACCAAATTTCAGCAAAAATTTTGGGCACCATCTTCATAGGAAATATTTTATTGTTGAATTAATATGAGCTTCAGATACTATAAACACTTGAAAACGGATAATAAACAAATTTCAGGCATAAGTTTAAACATCATCTCCATGAGTACTATTTTTATATGGACAAAATATATGCTCCAGGTCCCAGAAATGCTTTAAAATACAGCAAATTATTAGAAACCATTTTCTTTGATAATATATTTAATACAAATATGCTTTACCTAAATCAATATGTCTAAAGAGACAAGGTTTTGAAATTGAAAAACCTTTATATCACAGTTTTCTGTGAATTAAATATGTACTTCAGGTCTTAGAAACGTTGAAAATGTAAAAAAAACAAATTTTGAGATAAAAATTGGACACCATCTCCGTGGGTATTATTTTTATATTGACAAAAAATATGCTCCAGGTCCCAAAAATGCTTTAAAATATAGCAATGAATAAATTTTAAAAAACTATTAAAAATCATTTTCTTGGATAATATATTTTATACAAAAAATATATCAATATGTCTAGAGACACAAGTTTTTGACATTGACAAAACCTTTTTGACATAGACATGTTTTTTTTTGTTGCATTATCCAGATCCTACAGACGTTTCAAAATGGAAAAAAATATATTCCAAGAAAAATGTTGGACACAATCTCCATGGGAAATACTTTATTGTTTACTAAATATGAGTTCCAGGTGCTAAACTCGTTTTAAAATTGATAATAAACAAGTTTCGAGCAAAATTCTGAACACCATCTCAGTGGGTATTATTTTTATATTGACAAAATGTGCTCCAGGTCCCAAATATGCTTTAAAATGCAGCAATAAACAAAGTTTAAGCAAATTATTGGAAACTATTTTCTTGGATAATATATTTTATACAAAAAAATGCTTTATTAAATCAATATTATTTTTAACATGGACAAATGGTTTTTTTGTTGGTAAAATATATAATCCAGGTACTAGAAACGCTTTAAAATGTAAAAAACAAATTCAAGAAAAATTTTCTCCTTGGGTAATATTTTAATATTGACAAAATATATTATCCAGGTTCCAGAAATGCTTTAAAATACAGCAATGAACAAATTTAGAAAACATTTTCTTGGATAATATATTTTATACGAAAAATAGGTATGCTTTATTAAATCAATATGTCTGGAGACATTTAAAAAACCCTTCTAACAGAGACATGTTTTCTTGCATTAAACATGTTATCCAGGTCCTAGAGATGTTTTAAAATGTAATAAAAAAAACAAATTTGATGAAAAATTTTGGACATCATCTTCATGAGAAATATTTTATTGTTGACTAAATATGAGCCCCAGGTACTAAAAACATTATAAAACTGACAATAAATTTCAGGCAAAATTCTTAACATGTGCTCCAGGTCCTCAAAATGCCTTAAAATGCAGTAGTGAACAAATTTTAAGCAAAATATAAAAAATTCTTTTCTCGGGTAATATAATTAATACATAAATATGCTTTGAACTCTATTTTGTAGACTCACCTGGTTTGTGTTTCGATTTGGGCCCAGGAACAATGAGGTTCTCACCATTTTGAGGATGTACTAACAGAGAAGCAAATGAAGCATTATTCGCTCTGAATATGTCTAACAGTCCCTTCAAACTAACATCACTGATGAAATCGCACGATACCACCAACACGTCTGATTTTAGTTTGTCATGTACAAGCCTTAGACTATCAGCAGTGCCTAAATCTGAGTTATCACCAATTGTAAAATAGTCTATTTTGATATCTATATCGCTTTTTTCTAGAGTGGATTGAATTTCAGCCTTTTGACTTTCTAATACTACTAATATAACCTCTAAAATATAAATACAATCAAGAATAGGTACTTAGTGCAAATTAATTGGTCTAGCTTACCTGTAAATCCGGATTTTTGTAACTTATACAAAGGATACCAAACTAAAGGCTTTGGACCGATTGGCAACAAACATTTAGGTTTCCCCGTAGTAATTTCCGATATTCTGGAACCCTTACCAGCTGCCAGTACAACAACTTGAAATTCTTGTAGAAAACTCATTCTGTCTGATTGGGTTTTAAGAACACAGCTTTTCGGTGTTGTAAATAATTATTTGTAGACTTATATCTAAAGGGTAGTGGTACACGAAGGTCATAAAATCATTTAAAAATCGTACAATTCAAAACCATCTTGCATTGTAAGTTTAAGCTAAAATTGAGGTTATGTTATTGTTCCATATGACAGTGACATATGTGCTACGTTTAAAATGTACCTCCTCGAGCAGAGCGAGTATATTTTTTGGTCCCGTGACATCGAGCAAACCATATCAATGGATCAAACGGAGCTTGAAAGTATTAAAAGAACGGCATCGAGTAAAAAAGGCAAAAACGAGATACTTTTCAAACGCAGCATAGTGCTGCAAATGTGAAATTCAGAAAATACAGGAATCTACATAGGTCGGTATCTTAAAGTTATGCAACACTTTATACATTAGGTACAATATTTGCTATTATCAATGATATAGGTATATAGATTGCTCATTCATATTTAAATCCGACTACGAAAAGCGGGTTTTTATTGGGACAGCTTTTTTCTTTATGTTTTGTCTTAATTTCGAGTACCCAGTTGTAACAAAAATATTTACAGAACTGGTTTAGGTATTGGAATTTTTAGTGTTTCGTTGTCATTAGATTTTACAAATAAATATACGTTTTATAGATAGTATATGGGTGAGATTAATCTATATAGTTCTATACAACATTGATATAAAAATATTTCTACTTAAAAGTATGCAACACTTTATACGTTAGGCACGATATTCGCCATTATGTAATCGTAATAAAAAGTAAAATTCTATAATAACTTAGTCAAAACATCGACAGATGTCACTAAAAGTATTGTTTCTTCACTATTTTACATCAAATGTATTTAAATTTACTTATTTAGTGATATAAATAATTAATTTCGCTCACATCATTTTTATTAAATATTTAAATAAAGGCAATGTTTCAACACATGTAAAAAAATAACCATTTCTGTTTCGCACAAAATTTTTGAATTTCCGAACCCAGCTATACTTATTGATATTTTTGACTTAAAAAAATGACATTGAAAGGAAATTGACATGTGACATATCTGTTTGGCAATAAACATACAGACAAAATTTTTGATTATAACTTTTGTATTTAATTTACAAAAAAAGCATGGGTCGTAGGAAGTCCAAAAGGAAACCACCAGCGAAAAGAAAGGCGATAGAACCTCTGGACATATTATTCAACTGCCCGTTTTGTAACCACGAGAAATCTTGCGATGTTAAAATGTGAGTATCTTTTTGTCTCATTATTTCATATTTCTTTACAAAAATAGCGAAAAAAAAACTGTTAAACCTTCATTTAATGTTTTTTTCTGCAACAAATATTAAAATAATGAATAATAAAACGGGGGTAGTTGTAAAATTTTATTAATTACAGGGATAAAGGAAGGAGTACTGCACGAATAACATGTAGGGTGTGTTTAGAAGATTTCCAGACCACCATAAATTTTCTATCAGAACCTGTAGATGTCTATAATGATTGGATAGACGCATGTGAAACTGCAAACTAAATAATAAGTCTCTAAGAATGTAGTGCACTCTAGGTTTAATGTGTTTCGTTACAAAATATTTTACTTTTTAGGACCTAATTACTATAGTAGTATTGAATGTACTATTTTTATTTATATTTTTATTTTAGATAAACTAAGACGTGTGTGTTTCTTTATAGTTACTATGTATGAAAAGTAAATGAAATATATTATGTTGGATCGGTTGGATAGTTTGTTTTTCTTTTTGTGCAGAGTACAAACTGCTTTATCAATATTTTGCTGTTCACATATCATTAAACACTGAAGAAATAAAGAGAATAGGGAGAAAACAAACTAAAATCACATTTTTACAAGTATTATAAATTAAAAATTTAAAAAAAACGACTTCAAAAACGTGCAGATGCCGTCACCACATCTTAACCAATTTTACATGGGACCACCCTTGAGGTACCCCCTTACTAACAAAAAAAGAATCGTAGAAAACGGACAAGATGGTAAAGCATTAGCACTAAACATACATAAAAAATGAAGAATTTGAGGATTTTCCCATGGATCCAATTATTAGATTTTAACCAAATTTATATGGGACCACCCCTGAAGTACCCCCTTTCTAACAAAAAAAGAATCATTGAAATCGGACACCGTTTTAAAGAATTACCGCGAACATACATAAAAAAAATATTGTGATGAATTGAGAACTCCTCCTTTTTTGAAGTCTGTTAAAAATATAGAAAAACATCAATTTTAAAATTTGCTAGTCTGTTTTATTAGATCATAAAAGAAAAACAAATACTTTTGATACTAGAGAGTACTGCAGTGTTTGCTTATAATAATAACAAAATAAAGTAATTCAATAACTAAAAATATACATTAAGCTCTTATATTGTGTTTTGTTTATCTAATTTTTAGTAATTTTGGACTAAAGTCGTTTTTCCCCTGTTCTCTTCATTTCATTGTGACTATTTTTCCTTTTGGTGGTTGATAAACATTCTATTTTAAACCTGCAAGTCGTTCTCTTTCGCAGATAATAAAAATGGTAGTTATTTGTACCCTTTTTTTTTGTTAGAAAAAAGTATATTTTTATATCTAGAAACTGCGAAATTTGATCAGACTTTTTCCTTTGGGGTTAATAAACACCCTAAATAAAAAAGTGGTATATGTACCCATATTTTGCTATAAACTAAATTATAATGCCTAGGAACCAAGATTTGTGTTGTCTGTATATGTAACTTTGATATTTTCAGTTGTTCAAAATAGAGTTAATAAAAACGGCGCCTAATATTGAGTCCTACGGTACTATCGTTGTGACATTTCGGCTATTTGATGTACTACTTCCAATAGTAAAAACTTATTCACGGTTATTTAAATATGACTATATCCACTGATTAGCAGAGTCCCTTATGCCACTTATAAAAGCTTAGTCATAAAAATATTTGGTCCCTTTTTACCTCTTTAGCATGCACATGTAAACATATTTGGAGCTTTATGCCTGCCTATGTAATAATATTTGGTTCTTTTACCCCTTACGCTTGCTCATGTAAAGGTACGTTTACATCTGACATTTATTGAATGAGATTTATGTCTGAGTTTTTTAATCCAGTGTAAACATTCAAAAATATATCTCCGAGAGAAATGTTTGTGTGTTTGCACTGGACTAAACAACTGTTAGACAAATATCATGCAATAAATGTCAGATGTAAACGTACCTTAATTAATAATATTTGGCCCATTTATACCTTCAGCCTCACATGTCATATTATTTGGTCCTATTATTCCTCAAGCTTGTGCATAATAAAATATTTGGTTTCTTTGTCAATTACGCCTCTCAATGTAGATATATTTTGGCCATTTTTGTCTTAAACCACCCCATGTACAAATAATATTCGGGCCCTTTACTTTTTTAATCCTAATAAAAAATTCAAGTACAAGTTCTGTACAAAAATCACCATCCTGTATGTTATAGGCATAATTTCCACTTTTTTTTTTAACTCAAAACAATTATTATCAATTTTCATTTATTTCTTACAATAAATATCAACTTAAATATAATTCTTTATTAAAAAAAAAAACTAAATAAATTATATGGCGTTTAAATCTCTAGAAATCAATATAGAATTCTGAAAATCAATATGTTTCTTAGTTAGACAAAATTATCAAAGAAATAAAAACTCTAACCATAGAAAGGGTGCCTTAAATAATTGTAAGCTTTTTAATCCTTAACTGTAACGCCACTGGTAATTTTTAATTTTGTAAAATTCAACGCGTTACCAATGACAAGTGACAGCGACTTTTTTTATCACAAAAAATGCGATAATATTTTTAGAAATTGTTTTTAAAAATGGATTCAGAGTACGGTAAAGAATGGTGGAAAGTCTATAGTTTATTTTATATTAAATATTTAACAAATATTTAAAAGTTATGGACTTTCCACCATTTTTTGTAGTATTTAAAAGCTAAAACGCAAAATACACTCTTTTATTTTTCACATACGTTTTATTAAACTCATCGTCACTCATCGTATTACGTATTTCTTGACATTAAGAAAGATAAATTTAAAAGTGACGTCTTGTATTACTTCAAAAGAAAAATCGTTTTCTAACCTAAGAAAAAAGTTGAGTTGGGTCTTAAGTGAATTTGCAATAACTCTCTAATAATTCTGGAGATATATTATAACAGTTGTATAAGAGTTGTATAGTTTCGTTACAGAAATTCTATAGGATTAAAATATATAAAATTGGACTCTTTTTGACTGTATTAGTATTAAATAGAAGTTTTAAAAGGGATTATATTGGATCTACATATATTAATAGGACATCTTTTAAATATATAACTTATTTACGCCTTCATAAATAATTTCTAACTCCATTTTCTGTGTGGATTAGATTCGCTATTCCGCATGGGCTTTCTACTTCTACCTGAAGACTACCATTACAACAAAAGTTTGTTAATTTCTCTATAAAACTAAAAAACGTCTTCCAATGCAAGAATTAGGTCAAAACCAAAAAACAATCTACATTGTCATATTCTTCTACTTTGATAACAAATACACGAAACAAAATAAAATAACTTTCGTTGAGAAAAAACGACGGAAAAAGTCCCGGATGTAATCATAAACAAATCCCTATAACCGTGAAAGTTTCATCTCATTTCGGACATTTTTTCAAACCCTTTTCAACTTCCTGTGCAGTCGGAAGTTCTGGAAAACTCCCTTTCTCGAGCCGCATCCAGAAAAACCAGAAATGAGATTATTATAAACGGTTCGATCCAGGATATTCGAAAAAAAATTCGCCAGCATGATAAAGCTAAGAGGATATTCTCTATCGATTGTTTTTCCATTTAAAAAGTATAGTCCTTTTAAAAAAATCTACGCTGTATTAGTGTGACATGTTCCAATAACGGTGTCACTAAAATTAACATATACAGAATGTCCCAAAATTTCGTGCACATAAAGCTATTTTCGGAAACGCACGATTAGACTTTCCAGTGGCGTACAAGCTAAATATGCCAAAAATAAAAAATTGAATTTTTCAGAAGACAACGCTTTAATAAGTTTAATACTGTAGTACTATTATTTATATAGGGTGTTCTAATTTTGCTAGGTTACAAATCCTTCAGAATAAGGTAAT